GTTGTTCTTTAGCTATTTCATATTTCACTACTATTTTGCTAGATATAATTTTCGTCAGTAGCAAAAATTCGAGCACATCGTTGATTAATTCAGTTCATAAAATAAGATGCTACTTTGTGGGAATAAGCTCACTTTTTTAGAAGTTTGCACAATAAGTTACTACCCAAGCTGGGCGTAATCAAAGGACAAATAGCAGATCTATTTTAAGAAATGGCTTAAGGCACACTCACTCGATCGATCAACATCTTAATTAATCACTTAGAAAGGCAAAAGCGATGAAGAAAAACATTATTATAGTATCAATAGTTATAATATGTATACATTCTTTATAATATGTTGTAGTCAATTTGCTACCCCAACCCTAGTTGAATTATTTCACGATTTTTTATCTTTTTTATCATACCAAACTTTCTTCAAACCCGACGTTATAAACATGTTAAACAACATAACATCCCAAAAATTGTTCTTCTGAATAAGTACTTTAACTTCATCATAAAATCAAAAAACATCAGATCAAAAATCGGACTGTTGGAATACTTCATTAATTTTAAATCTAAACGACTGATTTCACATAATATTTACCTTGAAGGGGTTTTTTCGGTCTAGAATCTCGATTTTTTACGTATCTTTCTTAATTTTTTACGCAAAATTGTTTACAGTTATTTACCGGATGTATTGAGCATCTATAAGATGTGTTTTTATTTCATTATTTTTCAAAATACGTCTTTTACAACACTAATATAAAACCACCTCATTTTTCATGGTAACTATGATTACGACTGTTCTGCTTGTCTAAACCTATTGATCTGATGAGATTCTTAATATATACATCTGCAGCTATCGTCTGACCTGTAACAAATAAAAAAACATCGATAGAAACAAAATGGCGTTAATTTGAAAATTTCAATTATTTACGCTTTTTTACATTTCAAAGGGTTATAGAATTAATAAAAATGAATATGAATTTAACTTGATTCTAGGTCAGACGATAACTACATATGCGATTAATATCTGTACAAATGTTTGAGCACTATTGAGCTAGTAGTTTTTGAATAATCCTAGTTACCAGTTACCAAAATGCCGTTTGGAGAGGAAAACGCGATTTAAGTTTTTATAACTATTGTGTTCTGGAAACTTTAAAATACAAATATTTACAGTTAACTTGCTATTGCAGGACCAAACAGGGACCTTTCTTACAGGTCGTACATATCATCCAAGAATGCTCTTTTGTCTCTGTGGTGCGTTTTTTAGGTTTCTTGTGAAATTGGGCGAACGTATTCTTGCTTGGCTAAAGCAAATCTCGTTGCGGCTGTGCGTTTGTAATTCTGTTTTTGGCCAACTTTTACTTTCGTCACATCTTTAATCTTAAAAATGAGTAAAAATTCATTATTAAAGATTATAACAGCGAAAAAGTTGTTATCGTTTTAAAATGTAAATGTTTCACAGTAAAATTCCAGATTATTTTGTGATTCTGCACCAAAATAACGTTCGAGCAGCTCATCATAGGATAAATCTAGATAAATTGGATTTAATTTATCCAAAAGCTGTATACTCAGCGGTGGACTTGAGTAACGGAAACTGTCAAGTGTGTCGGCGACCTCCGCTTTACGCTACTTACAATAAATTGTCTTCGCCTTCTGGAGCTTTGATGTTATGGTGTTTCATCTGTGGAACTTTTATGATAGTACTCTGCCCAAATTTGTTTGTTCATACCTTTCACAAATTCGTAATGTCTTTGGATAACTAAGCCATAATACCTTGTAATTCATAAATACTTTTCTGTAAACAAATTTTGTTTAAAAGTCAACAATATATAACAAAGATTGGTATAAAATACAACAGAATACACAAGCTCGCTTTTTAAAGTTTCATACGCTATATCTTCCGAAATAATGCGAATTTTTAAATATACTTTTACACATATACTCTACACGGCATATAATACAAAATAATACAAAATAAAACAAAAAGGTTTGAATTTTTTTGATCCTCTAGACCGGATCAATAATACAAAAAAAGTGAAATAAGTTAACACTTAATTGTGGACATTAAGTGAAGAAAATAATTAACTCAAGATTAAAATAAATACGAAAATAGTACGATTCAATCAGTCTGATACGAATCTGTAGTCTCTAATGTAATATTCCCTAATCCATAATACTCTAACATTTGACGTATTTAAGTCAATACATCATTAATAGTGTTGCAGCTATGCCTACATAATTAAATTTACTATTCAACGGTTACACAACTATACAGTGCGCGTCAAATGTAACTCTACTCAGCTAATTTAAAAACGGTTCGAGATATCGATTTGTTCTGTTCTAAGAGATAATATATATATAAAAGATAATATATAGATAATATATAAGAGAAAATAAGAAATCGTTGTAGTATATTAAATCTTTATTAAATTTGTAACAGAGTTTAAATTAATATGTTTATTTAATAAAACACTGTAGAATGGGTGCAGTTGACAAAAAGGTTTTCAATTTCTCGAAAGCGCAATCTTGTGCAGATTCCCATTTCCACTCAGCATTCTTCCTGGTAAGCTCAGTGATAGGTTTCATGATTCCGGTACAACCAGGGATGAACTTACAAAATCACGAAACTGTTTGAAGGAATGTTAGGAGTTCACGAACATTTTTCGGTTTTGGTATTTTAATAATTGCGGCAATCTTGTCCATGTTTGGTTTTGTACCTTTAGGCGTAATAATGTGTCCTAAGTATTTTACCTCTGGAGCCATAAAAGTACATTTTTCTCGATTTACGTGTAACTTGAACATCTTCAGCTTTTCAAATATCCTTCTCAAGTCGTTTAGATGTTTTTCAAAGGTTTTCCTTCATCCTTTGAAAGGTTGAAGGTGCATTTCTTAATCCAAAAGGCATGCATTCAGCTTCCGGTAGTCGACACATACACGATATTGATCAGATTTGTTTGCCTTTGGCACCAATACAACTGGTGAAGCATAGGCGGAATCCGACTCTTCAATGATGTCATCCTCAATCATCGGCTGGATTGCCTTTTCTAAGAATTTTCTCTTTGGTTCTGCCAATCGGTACGGAGGTACGGCTATAGGAATATCGTTGGCAAGCCTTATGCAATGCTCTGTATACGGAGTTGGTTCTGAACTTGGCGAGAACATTTCGACATTTTCATGTAGTAATTGGTTCAATTGCGATTTTTGATCAGAATCGAGAGTAGAACATTCATCAACATTCAAGCTCACATCAATCGTATTTTCAACTTGAGGGGTGATTACTTCCATACATTCTTTCTTGTAGAAGTCATGTTTTCTTTCAGGCTTATGTGTAAAGTACCATTGTCGTTGGGAGATATCAATGACAATGTTTGCGGTTTCAATAAAATCAGCACCGAGTAACATGTTGCTGTTACTGTGTTCAGGAATAGCGAGCAATTCTAATGAAAACGAATGACCTTCTATAACAATCGAGGTATTGAAAATCTTTGCTTGAACAGACTGTTCTTGACCATTGGCGAATTTCATTTTCAGGAATTCGGTACGAAACGGTAATTGATCTTTGAGAAGTAACTGGTACAGTTGTGTACCTGCTAAGCTTCTTTTGTGCTTTAAAATGTTTTGTATTGCATCATTATGCCTCAATGCGTTCTTCAGATACGATATTTAAAATTTGCTTTAAAATGATGTTGATTTTTTCATTTGTAAACAACTTTTTACAAACGACAACCTCAAGTTGTACTTTGATAATGTAAACTGATTTTGATCTCTTCTAATATGTTACCATTACAACATTCAAAAGTGTAAATCCTTAGTATATAGGTTCCAGCAATCAATATGCCATTTTTAGTTGTATATGGAGTTGCTATTTTGCGATGTCTACATTATTAGAATTTAGATCGTGGAATATAACAGAGAAACGAGCTCCGTAGGTACCGCCTGTCTTTTGTTGAGGCGCATTTGAGCTTCACCAAGATAGATTTGCCAAGCTATAGAATCATCCAACTTTGTACCACTTATTATGGGAAACTCCATTTAGTATCTTTTAACTTTGCGTAAATGATGTAATAAAGCATTGTGAATAAAGTAAAGATACTGAAAGACTTTAAACATAATTCTAGTTATAATGGAATTTTTTTTTGTTAAATTGATTTTGCGTTATCATTTAGTGACATAGTGCAAGTAGTACCCTACGTTGGCATTGTAAGAATTAATGGAAACGCTCGAATTCGACGTGAGGTGGCGCAACCTTTATCCGGATCTGCAGCTTACCTCAGTTGCATAGAGTCGGATCTGGGTAGAGCTGCACAATAGAGCCGCTACGAGATGGTGTTTGCGTAGGAGCTCAGCCTCGGCATGGCCAAAGTACATTTAACAACTACAAAAGATTATGAGGGAATAAGTTCGGGTTTATTCGTTCTCGGAGTTTGAACTCGGCGAATCTTAATTTCTTGGAGGATTAAACGCAACCATTTATAAGAACTTCTTAACCGACCTTTTCAACTTTTAGTTCATAGAACACACACAGAATACTATAAAGTTATATTATGTTTCTCATCATCATCATCGTAGAGTTTTCTATTAGTTTTTATTGAATTAAAATTTTCGGTTACAAGTTTATGGAGTGGAGGAGAATAATTAATCCAAATCTCTCTTTCGGGATTAGATTGATATTGGCAAATATAGACATACACCAAACACAAATACCAATTCTGGTGGTAATATTCAAAGCGGCCACTAAAGCCGCACGCACTCAGGTATTAGCGGCATTTCATTCGCGATAATTGAATAATTAATTGTCAGGCAGAGGGTAATTTTCTATTGAGGGTGAAATGTTTTCGGTCGGAACAGCTAATGTTATTATTTAATTAATGGGTTTAATACTCAATAAGCTAAACCTCAAATAAAGGGATACGTTACAATTAAGAGGTTGAATTATTATATTAAACTTTAATTCTGATGAATGTATACAAATTAGAGTGTGATTTCTCTTACTTAATTTATTCCTTTTTGTTTTAGGATTTTCATGAAGTCTCTTGTGTGTAACATCTCAATGCCTATGACAACAGTAAGTATTAATGAAACAATTATTTTGGTTAAGTAGAAGTTAAAAATTTTCAATGAAGCAATATGTGAATGACGGGAACATGTGCTTCTGACTCCGTAATTGGAAATTAGTGATTTTGGACGCACAACAAAGCAACGCAGCTCGAAAACGATAATAGCCGAACGGATTCCGCAATTTTGCCAGATTGGCGTCCGGAATAACTCGCCGCCCGTTTCCCGGCGAGTCATAATAGCTTTTGTCGAAGCCGCCCCGGTTTCGCTCATATTTACAAACAAAAATAGCAAAACAAAAGATGTATAAAAACGCGCGGTTTCGTTCTTGTTAATAGGAAAACCGCAAATCTGCGTATACGTTTGGCTGACCAGAATCAAATCAACCGCCGCTAATGCGGAAGGCCAACTGTAAAATTTTAAACATTTTCCGCCTAACGCCCGAGGGACTAAAATTAATCCCCTATCCGTAAAATTTAAACCGAATATCGAGGGGAGCTCAACAAAAACAGACCGTTTCTTGAAGTCAAATTGGATTTAGATAACGGCCAAATAGTATAAAAGTCCTTCATATTCCAAACGAGGTAATGCGGGGAATAAAGAAATTTGATTTAAGCTATTCATAGGATTTTAAATCAAATTTTCTATGTCTGAAAACGTCTTGTTTATTGAAAGTAGACAAAATGAAATATTTTTGTTGGCTTATATTTTTTATTAAGCTTTTTAATGGGATCTTGCTGTGACAGAACGTAACAACTAAGTAGTGTTTTTTTATATTTACATTGTTATTCAACCTACTTCGCTTTTGTTTATTACAACTAAAACTCAACCTTAAAACACCCCAGTAAACAAAAACGAAGTTTTACAAAACAATAACTTAAATTCTAACAACTAGTTTATATTTAAATCCTTCAAATTTAACTCTTTCTAATGGCTTAGTAAAAAAGTCTGCTAAATTATCTTCACTATTACAATGGATTATTTGGATATATTACAATGGAACGTCGATATGTTTACTTCGCCTGTTTAAGATTCCATTATTGATCAAGTCTATAGCACTTCTATTGTCTATCAGCATTGTTGTTTGTATTTCTTCAAAAATCAACTCTTCCATAAAACTCTTGATATGTAGTAACTCCTTACAGCATTCGGCCACCGCCTCTGCGGTTGATAACGCAACGATTGGCTGTTTTCTCGTTGTCCAACTAGTCATGCAAAATTACTGGAAATTTAAGAAAATGTAATTTTACCGTAATATTACCGATAATATTATTGGTAACATTACCAGTACCAGGTATAAATTTTAGATATACATAGGTACTGTATCTCTTTTTAACGTTCATTTATTAAATAAAATAATTTTAAGTCGTAATTTGTAATTTTAAATATATTTCGAGAGAATAGAACAAAATATGTCTATACATATAATAAGAAGCATGTAACAAAATTGTCATTTTTTATTCAGTGCTGAAAGTGGTAGATTACCTTCATATTCATCGTTTAATTATCGTCCCTATTTTCTTCTGCACTTTCTTTCTCTTGACCTGTTTTCTTACTCATTAATTGTGGTTGGGTGATATATATGTGAGTTTACCAGCTCTTTCAACGGTCAGTCGATTTCTTCTTTGACTGTGAATAAATCCTTGTCTATAAGTAAAGTTCTAAATTCTAAAATTTTATTGATTATACCAACGTGCTGAAAGTTCTTTCCGTAGCTGCTGGCAAGTTTAATATATCCGAAGCTAGTGAGCTCAAGCTTTTACTGCAACAGATTCCTGACCACGTAACTCCATTTAATTTTTCACTAGAGATGACCAAGTCTTTTGCAAAGAAACCGCTTCTCACATTGTATATTCGGCAAGTTCTGTTCTGGAGTTAAATATCGTCCTCTATTTGCTGGTTCCAGTAAATTAGCAGTTATATGTATCGGTTTTATCAATTTATTCATTTTTGACATTAAAATACCTTTAATTGTATCCTGCTCATCTTGAAGTATCGATGTTGATAATAATTGTCGTGATATAGCAGCTTCTATTTCCAAAAAGGCATCAAAAACTTTTGATATTGTAGGAGCATTTGCTTCAAAATATTTAATCCAAGTCCCTAGGTATTCCCCGATTTTCTTGATATTACAGACATCATAGAGCAATTGTAACTGAACTGAGCCGATGTTGAACTGTATTTAGAGGGTTACCTTACGGGTAATATTACGGTAACTTAGCAGGCAATATTACTTAAATTACTGGTAATGTTACCGCGGTAATATTACTTTTTACATCACTATGTCCAACTGTTCGGTTCTAAGTTTAACATTATTACATAACCACTAACACTTTTGCGCCTATCTGTACAATTTGCATAGTCACTATCTGAAAATGTTTGCAGTTTTAAATTTCTTATTACAGTTCCACGCGTAGATTCGATTCCAAAATCCTTGTTTGTATGTAAATATTTTAATATCCTTTTTACATTAGTTACGTCACATCTTTTTGTATTTTTAACATATCTAGTAGCAAAGTTTACAGCGAAAGTTATGTTTGTTCTGGTTTTATTAGTTAAGTATAGTGAACTGCCTACTGCTTCTTGATATGGAAAGTCTTTGTTTATCTCTTGATTATCAATTATCACTACGTTTTACATCACTTAGACTTAATGGTATTTTCGTTTTTTTTACTGTTGTCAATTTTAAATGGTTCAAACACTATTTTTATATTGTCCTTTTGATAAAGTTTTAACGAGTCTTCATTTAATTTTATGTTTTATCCAAGAAATGTTTTTGGTTGTTCCCACAGTTTTATTTTAAAATAGTTTTTCAGTTTGTTTATTAAATTGTCGTGTTTTTTTTATCTTTTGATATAATAAATCCATCGTCCACGTATATGGCTAATAACGTATATGTTTCGTTTTCAGCTCTTTCAATCCAATACTTTCTAAAGCATCAGTAAATATCTTGTTCCATCTTTCGGGTGTTTGTCTTAATCCCTATAGCGCCTTTTTCAATTTACAGACTTGTTCTTCTAAATTGTTATATCCCTGTGGTATCTTCATGTAGATATCTTCTTTCAGTTTGCCATACAGCAAAGCCGTTTTTATATCAAATTTTGTTATTTTATATGCTTCTGCAGCTGCTGTTGCTAATATTATTCTAATACAGCTCATATTTGCTACTGGACTGAATAACTCTTCTATGTGTTCTTGTGGTTGTTCAAAACCTCTTACCACTAATCTGGCTTCATAAGTTTCGTCGTCCTTGATCTTGAATACCCATTTCTTACTCAATACTTTTTGTCCCTTAATTTCTTCGCTTTCCATACTTTTTCTACTTCAATGACTTCTTATTCTCTTATTATGACTCTTATTCTATTGCATCTAGACATTTTTTCTTGTCTTCATCATTTATTGCTTCATCAAATGTAAAATACTTAGTCTTTGAACTTTATAGGTGGTTTTCTTGTTCTTTGTCCCCTTCTATTATGATTTTCTTCATCTTCCTTCTCTCTATCTTCTTCATCTTATTGTTCCTGAGTTGTTTCGTTTTTTTTTTCATTTGTTCATCAATTTCATTCTTCATTTGATTAACTTCTTGATCTAATCTTAATTCAACTTGCTCAGGTATATCTTCTGGTATTCTTGTTTTTCATTATCCCAGAATCTATAACCATTTAACGCATAGCCTACATTTCTGCTTTTTTCATCTAATTGCTTTAAGTATCCTAATACTTTTGCATATGCTTCACATCCAAATATTTATAATCCAGATAAATCAGGTTTCTTATTGTTCCAGATTTCATAAGGAGTTTTCGTTATAGCTTCACTTGGGCTTCTATTCAGTATATAAGCAGATGTTCTCACTCTTCCCAGAATGATTGTTTTAATCCAGAGTCAAAAATTAATGATCTGGCTTTATCCATAATTGTTCGATTTAAACGTTCAACCTTTCCATTTAATTGTGGTGTGTATACTGTATTTTCCATTATAATACCTTTCTCGTACCTTTCTCGTAATCTCGTCTGTTTTGCTTTCAGACACACTTTACAAAATGTTTCACTTATCAAATCCTTCTTGCTCATATTTATTCCTGTAACCATGTTCTCGTAGATTAATTTCTTTGAATTATTAATATTAATATGTGCATATTTCAAGTTTAGCATTGTGGCCTAAAAATCGATGATTTTTTTTTAATCGATAGGAAATGAGTTAAAACAGGCACTAATAATAATAGAAAAGTGCGGAAAAGTGTAGAACTTACCGAAAAATCACTTTAAAGTTTCGATGTATCACAGTTTAGCCATATTTTTAGGCCACAATGCTATTCTTGAAATATGCCACAGTTTTAAACAAATATTCCGATTTTAATTTTATTTAGGTTTAGAATTGAGTTGAGATTTGACGTCATTGAATGATTGAAGACATTTTCTCGACTTTTAACAGACAACGTACACATCAACACGTTAACGTCGTATACAGTTTATAACTTCATAAAGTTGCTGACGGTTCGATACTTATAACTTAACCGTTATTGTACGACTAAAGCAGCGGCGAACGCAAACGCAAGTTTACCTTTATTTCGGCACGTAATATAATTAAAGGTCGCTATCAGTTTTAGACGGGCCGCGTACGTTACCTGTCGCCGTAATTAACTTTATTAATGCATTATCACGTAATTTCTGCACGCCGCGTGTTTCTCAGGCACCCCTATTCCTTCCGGGCAAACAAGAGAATTCACTATAACGCTTGGATATTCCTCCCGGGATCCAAGGATAACGCTCGTTATTATATTACAGCGTGTCAGCGAAACGGCCAACGTACTGTCCACATTTTTAACGTCATTATCAACGGGTCGTGATGCTGTTATATCTTCGTGATGTTCAGAGCTTTATACCTCGGTAGATAAAATTTCTTTCGGTTGGGGGTTATGGCTAAGAAACGAAGTTATGAAGCGTGAATTGAGATATTGAATCTCTATGTCTGTGAATACATAAAATAACACTAAGTTTATTATTTACCGCC